TTTAAAAGAGTCGATCATCAGATATTGTCCAAGATTAACCTTCAGGGTGGATATAGCTCGCTAGCAGCCTCGCACCGATGACCTACCCTCATTATCATTTACCCAGAATGCTTTGCATGTAAATAAAATGGCCCCGTCCGTGTACTATATTTTTAAACGTTTAGTTTAAAAATTATAAAAACTAAACATCCTACACTATTTTTACAGTCTTTATTTTACAGTTAAAATATATGTTGATCAAATAAAGTGTAATGTTACAACTAATCAGGGATCACTTAATCAGTTGTAGGTGTACATCCAGCTGTGGTTTGTGAGATATTTCGCTAACAAACAGTCAAATACAGTAATGAAAGCGCAGAATAGCCAGAGCACCAGCATCTTTGTACTCTGTGGCATTTTTTTTAAATGAGCTGTGGCTAATCAATGTTAACAGAACGGTCCCCCCCCCTGCAGTGGTTTGGTCTGATGGTCCTGTGTGATCCTCCTCAGGTGCTGCACAAACGCGTCCCTTGCAGAGAGCAGGAGCAGAGTCTCTTTCTGACCGCCGTGGAAAACACGTGGATCCACGGCCGACAGAAGAGGCGCGAGCAGAAACGCCAGCTGCGAGAGCTTCCCAGAGCGCCTCACGGTGCCGGAACCAGTTCTCAAACCAGCGTGACCACTGCCGCCCCAGGATCTCACAGTTCCCCCCAGAACCAGCCCCTCCCCACAGAGAAAAGCAACAGCCAGGACAGCAACGTCAACCTGTCTGCAAACGAGACGAGCAGAGCAGAAACGAGCACAGCCGGAGAACTAGAAGAGGCGTCAGAACATGCAGCAGGTGAGGACGCAGGCATGGAGTCCTCCACCTGCCCAGAAGCGGGTCAGGAACCAGATGCTGCAGGTGAAGCACCCCCTGTAGGGTCCCAGACCCACGGTCCTGTSGAACACTTCCTGTTTAAATGTGTGCTGAACGTGATTCCAGAGGACAGAGACGTCGTGGTGGAGCTGCACTGGGTTGAAGGTCAGAACAAAGACCTGATGAACCAGCTGCGCACCTACCTGAAGAACAGCTTGTTCAAATCTGTGGCCAAAGTTTAATAATCAGAAAGAGAACACATTTCTATTTTTGTTTTGTAAAGGAAGTATTCTGATGTCAGCCAGTGAAGTATTCATTTTACCAGAGATTTTTTGTTTTTCTAAAAGTTTTTACTATTACGTATTTTCTTGTTAGCTTACCTTTAAAGGTATTCCACATGTAAAATAATACTTTGTTGCAAACAAATGCAATAAATGTACATTTTCAAAAAAAAACTCATTCACGTTGCTTACTGAAATTTTTAATWATGCAGTACCTAAAAATGACCACAAGAGGGGGTGAGTGTTTGCAATCATGGTGTGTTACATGAAGGTTTCTTCGTGCTTCATTTGTTATAATTTGAAATCAAAGTCAGACCCAGTTTTCCATTTTAWATTCAGACTCAGAACGTGTAACTCTAGAATGGTTGGTCAGTTTTTCCTGCACTGTGAGGACCTTTAGCACGTGTGCTCTGTTATCGTTCTGCTGTAGCCGACAAACTTCCTCAGTAAAGTCAAGTGAATAGCAGAAAAACTGACTTCAACACCCAGAGCTATTTGCACATACACGTTCAACCACTGTAGTTATAAACAAAAACACACTTCCTGCTAGTACAGCATGTCCTGCGGTCATGGCCGGACTTTCACCCCACTGGTGCTGTGTGTGTACTTGGGTTTTTGTTATCTTTTTAGGACCTTTTCTGGTGTTATCACCTATCTTGTCAGGACCGGTAGTCCTTATGGTGACCTGGTCCTAATATGGTGGAACGTCTTGTTTGAGCAAGGTTTAAACTGTGAGTTGAGTTAGGGTTAGAGGTTATCATGCGGTTCAGAGTTGGGCTACTGAAATGAATGGAAGTCAATACAATGTCCTAATAAGGATAGATGTACAAATGTCATGTGATAGCTGGGAAAAGTGAAACAATTTTTCTTATTTCTCCTTTATTAAAGCTGTGGCTTAAACTAATCCAGCATCTTACTGGATGCTTTTTTGTAAGTTTGGGGAATTTGAGTTTCTTCTAGTTCATTAAAAAAAAGTTAAATAGTTTACTATTGTATTGATATTCAGGATAATCTTTTTATGTTTTATTTCATAGTTTGTAATGAGCACCTTTAAGATTTTACCAGTTGCTTTTTTAATTAATTTTTTATTATTACCTTTGCCATCGTCTGAACTGCAATGGCAATATATGTTTATCAAATATATATATATATTAGAACGCTGTAATGAAATTTTAGCAGCCTTCTCCTGCGCATGTTGGCCTCTGGCTCCCTCTAGCGGCAGCAACAGAAGGCGCAGCTCAGTGAAGCTCATTGTTCCTTCCTGTTTAATATATTAACTTTTTTTATTGAACAAAATCAAACATTAACACAAAAACAAACAACGACATTCTCATATACAAAAATCAATAATTTCCATTCGTATTTAGAGCACAACTTCAATATTACAGAACAAGAACATTTTTTTCTTTTTTTTAACAAAACCTAAGAAACAAACAAACTAAAAATAAAATGAAAAAAAATTAAGGGGTTATTAACTGAAATTTCTTCATTAATTCGTACAAATTTTCAGCTTTTGCATTTTGCATCTTGCTTAGACACGTTTAAAACAAGGAGATTTTCTTCATTAGATCAGTGGTTCCCAAACCTTTTATCTTCTGACCCACAAAGTATCCATGGCAAAAACTTGTGACCCTAAAAATTACTGGTCTGAGTACACAAACTTAGTTAATAACCCTAAAAACACAGG